CGTATATAAATCACTCCTATTTTATTATTATATTAATACTTCAACAGATTATTTAATTAATTAATATCTTAATTGATTGTTTTGGTTTAAGTGCTTTAATAATTGCTTTTCATAATTTCTATACTGAAATAATTATAGAAATTTTGTTTTCATGAAATTTCAAACAAAAACCTCAACAAAGAGTAAGAAAAGCGTAAGAAGCCAATTAATATGAGTAAAGCCAATGTAATTAACATTATGGAATTAAAAAGCATTCACACACAAATGCCTTACCTTTAATGTTTTTTTGAAAGCGGCTCGAAAATCCCTATTGAAGTAGGCATAAATTATGGGATTTAAAGCCGAATTAAAGTATCCAATCCAGAAGAGAATTCCGACGACGATGCGTGGCGTTGTGCAAGTATCGCAGAGGGTGGAAGTGATGTACCTGAAAGTGATGTAAAGGAGCATTCAAATTAAATGCAGAAACAGCAGAAATTAATTATGTTTGTTATATAAAATATTACATATTTGCAGGACGAATTTAAAATTTATTAAAAACCAAAAATAGCTACAAAATGAGAAATGGGAAAATGGAAAAAGTCAATTTTTATATTTTGTTTTTTTGGTACGTACCACAAGAAAAATGGCAGCCAACAGAGCAAAAACGCGCTCATTATAATGCCTAGGGTACGTGCGGCTTTACGTTCCCGTCTCATGGTTGAGATGGTCGACTGTTCGACTTGTATACTTGGACGTGGTTTGGGTATTTGGCTTATCTGTAAATGCTTGTCTAGCAATAAAGCAGCAACTTTCGACCTAAAATGTACACGCGATGTTGATGTCCATATTGTTGTTGTCATTTTGGTTGTAGTCGATGATGATAATTGTAATGATTATAATCGCATTCGAGCGAATGTATGGCAAAAAAGAAACAAACGTAATTGTTATTAATTGGCAACATTTACTTGATGGAGTGCGTATCGAGTAGCTACTTGACACTTGCAAAAATTTACCTGTACACTAAGCGTTCCTGTCTGTCCGCCTCAAGATAAATGCGATAATACATGGATAGCATGACAATGCCTGGAATCCAGAAACTCATGGACGAACTGACAATGGCGTAGGCTTTGTTCACTTTAAATTCACAGACCTACAATGAAATAAATTAGAGCATTAAGTAACCAAATTATTGATATACGTATGCTTGAAGTAATTGTATTACACCTAAGGATTATGTTTAATTCAGAAGAAAATATGGACAAGAAATCCAAATCCACTAGATGTATAAATTAATACAAGTGAGAGGAGGAAGGGAGAACGTTGTTACTAAGTAGTAATTAGTGACTCTCTTAGTATTGTTTTGACTCAACTTCATTTATCCCCCTTTCATTGTTAAATTAATTAGTTATTCGTGTTAAATTAATTTATTCAAATTTATTGGAGGTGGTTATTAATTATTTATCATTTTTTATATATTTTGCAAAAACATTCATTTATTACGGCTTAATAATGAATTGAGTGCTAATTTATAACTTGGTGACATTACAAATTTAAATTAGTATAGTTACGAGTTCACTTTTTTCAATATTATTTAGATTTTTAAAGACTTCTGTAAATTTTAATGAAAAACTTTTAAGCATTTGGTAGAAGACTTCTTTTTCTGCTCTGAGGAAGAAATCAAAAAAAATTTCAAAACGACAGTGATATTTCTATAGATAATAGTTATAAGATAATATTTTTACAGGCTAATTGGTAAATTTTTTATAATTGCTAAAAATGAAAATGAAGAAAAATAAAATATCAAATTATTTTATAAAGAAATTTTTTCGAACAGTAGTGAACTACAACAACAAAAATTCATTTCATATTATTTTAATGAATTGAATTTTTGGTTGACCATACAGCTGTTTCGAGTATTGCCAAATACCTATCATCAAAGGTCTTGGATATAATTCTTATATTTAATTATTCATAAATAATTATTTTTGACACTGCAAGTACCAGGAATCGAATTCGGGTCCTGTCAAATGTGAAGCTCAGAATCAGCGCACTTTAACTAACTAACCCAAGGCCTTTGGTACAATAATTTTTATTTAATAGATCAGGAAACTATTTCCTGATGAATTTCTGAATGATGATTTCCTGAAACTGTTTCCGGATGAGTTTCTGAATGATGATTTCCTGATGATGACTTTCGAGTAAACTCGAAATATCGATTAAATAAAAGTTAATGTAAAATAAATCATTGTTTTTTCTTAATTCATATTTTTAACAATAATTAAAAATTGATCAATTAACCTGTGGAAACACTATATTAAAAATCGTTTGACCATGAAATAATAAATAGATAATAACTATAATACATTTAAAATAAATAGAAAAAAACTTATATAAAAGTTTTTATTTAGATTTACAGAATCCATAGATTACATAGATTATATACTTTAAATAATACTAGAATAATTTATTAAGATATGCACATTTGTATATTTCATTTATTTCTAAAATAGCAAAATGTCAAATGTCAATTGATTCAGTTGATTCAAGCAGATAAAGGAACCATAATCAAGTGGGAAGTATTTTTTTTCCAATATTAAAATATATTTAAATAAATGTTTTTAACAAAAATTAATTTATATATACTACAATATCACAATAAGTAGTTACTCGAGATAGTCCATGATATAATATACGCTTAAAATAGCTTATTAAATTATTTTTATAAACTTGAGTTTTAAATATTTGGAGAATCAATTTTAATTTATTTTTAAGTATTTACCAAAAAAAAGCAATTAATGCATATAAATCTTTTATATATTAGTTTAATATTATATTAAAATATTTTTTATTAATAAAATTTTTTATGTATTGTATTATATATCATTTTCTTATAAAAAAATTTTTTTATGTATTGTATTATTTATCATTTTCTTAAAAAAGAGCCGGAAATTGAACTGGTATTTGTTTTTCTAACAAGTCAAATATTTAAATTTATTTTCAAAGTTAATTTGTATCTCAAAAAAAAAATAATTCAGATGTCATTTTTAGTTAAAAATATTAATAGGTATAGCGGCGAAAAGCATGTATAAGGCGTAAATATTTTTTGTTAACCTAAATATATGGTCATTCTTTTATACAGTTTCTGACATCATCACCTCCGATTTGGTTAGAATATTTTTAAAGCTCGTTTTATTAAACAAAAATACCAATGTCTCGAGAAAAAATATTTAAAGTTTTATCTAGGAGCTACGAAACAATAGGGTTTAGAATTTTAGATAAGTGGTCATATCTCACGCTCTGTTAATGATAGAGGCCTATAATTTATTGCATTGAATGATACTAAACTGAAATTGTAATAAATAAAATAATAATTAATATTGTTAATATTACTTATATTGATAGGAGTTTTTAATATTAAATGTTAATTAAAAAAAATTTTGCTGTGATTTTTCAACTCTTGAAAATTGTTACTTTTACTTTAGATTTAAATTTATGAAATTTTATTAAAAAATTGAAATTCATGTTAGCGTTATTTTTAGAATTATTTTTTAAAAATTAATTACGCCTGGTAAAAGTAAACTATGGATCAAAATAAAATAAAAACATAATTAGGTTAACAAAGAAATATGTTTGTATAGCGTTTTTAATGCCGTAAGCACTCTTTATACTACTATATGTATATTTTATACTACTACACCGAAATGAATAGTTAAAAAAACGTTTAAAAGAATTTGATATAAGAATTTGTTTTATCTATAAAAAATAAATTAAAATTACTTACAACAATCACTCATAAAATACCTGACTTCCTAAGTAAAGTTCACTCACTTCAATATTATGAAAATTTCCTTGAAAATTTGATTTAAACTTCATGTAATTAAAAAATAAAAAATTTGACATGCTACCAAGGCCACTGGCGTCCCACGTAGCGTATGAGTTACGTGCATTTCTTCCCAAATTATTTTGCTTCATTAATCAAAGCGAACATTTTCTCAAACAATTCTAACGCATATTAATTAAAGTGTACATTTAAAGACTTCGAAAAGTTTCTAAATTTATAAATTTAAAAATTGCAAAATTCAAAATTAAAAATACCAAATTATACACGCATCATGTATTTAGATCAAGATATTATTATAATTAGTTTTAAATATAAATTAATAAGTATTTATGAGAAATTTTACTGAAATTAATTAAAATTCAATTTCGTTAAATGTGTAAACAGAGCCAAAGCGCAAACACACACACACACAAAGCAATAAGTAAGGAAAGCAAATACAATATTAAATTCGAAGTAAATTTCGTTAATGAGAAAGCCAGTATGTATGACATATTAATGAGATTTATTATGTTAAATGAGAATAAAAACAAAAACAAAAACAACAACAACAATGATAATAATAGCACCAAGCACCAATGAAAATAAGTACCAACACAAAAACAAAAACAATAACAAAAACTAATTATAATACAACTTTATGCTAATGCAAGCAGAACTTCAATTTATACTGTCATCTTGTCTGTCTCTGTCTCTGTCTTATGTTCTGCTCTGCTCTGCACTGTTCAGTTCAGTTCAGTTCAGTTGAGTTCTGCTTTAAAACAAAATAAGAGGTTAAATTATGGTAATGCTACTGACAGTGCGTTTCTGTGTGTGTGTATGTGTGTGTGTGTGTGACTGACAGTAAATTCATCTTTCCAAAGCGTCTTAAAAGAACAACAATTGCAAGTAATTATATTATTTCATTGACATTTATATTGCAATATTAATAGTGACATATACAAACAAACACACAAGAATCGAGCAACAACTAATAAACAATTAATTTTATGTAGATGGTAGTGGGGTGTATGTGTGTGTGATTGTTTGTTATTTAATTCCTTTTAATGTCAATTAAATAAAGAAAAAATAATGAAAGCTTGGGTAATGATTAATTTTTACTGTAAAAGGTTTCCGCACAAAAATCTATAAAAATGCATATATTTCATTAAAAGACACACTGCCACACACACACACATATATATAGTAAAAAATCATTTAACTACATTATGCAATTTCCTTTAAGTAAAAGTGTTTTAATTAAGTGCCACGGAAAGGGGGTAGTAAGAAGTTCGGAGCTTATTACCATAAAATGCACCAACGTTTACAGGGAAATGTAATTACGAAGTTTTAATTATGCAATTTTTTGTCGGAAGATGCAAAATTATTTTCAAAAAGTTTATGGACAAGCATTTACATTATTATGAAAAGAGTAATTTGGGTTAAAATAATTTAATCACTACAATTTTTTTTTTAATTTAAGTCAATGTAAAGTATTATAAAATTTTCATTATAGAATATATTAGCAAATCAGTCACAAACCCTTTTTCGTAGTAAAAATATAAAAACTTAATAAAAGATTTTATCTCATTAAATACTCATGATGCATTAACAATAAATATACTTATGTATTTTATAATTCACTGTAGTATGTACATATAAAATAATTTGTAATGTAATGTTATTAGATTTTAAGATTCTTATTAAAACTAATATAAATAAAAGCTATTCAATAAAGACATATTGTTAAATATAAAAAAAAATATATGTACTATATTTCATTCAAGTTCTCTTTATAACTACTTGCCTGACCTAATCTCTAGGGCCCATGCTACACTTGCGTAAAATTGAAGATTTAAATTTAAATATTAAATAACTAATTTTTATAACAGTTTTCGCACAGTTTACTACACTTGCGGATTGAAATTTTCCATATGCTTTGATGCTGTTGAAAAGGTAATGAAACCAATATATGCTTAATATTTTTTTTAGACATTTTTTGATATTTTCAATTCTACATTTACATAAGCATGTTATTCTTAATACCAGAAAAGAAACAGCTAAAGTAAGAAATTTATATGTAATTTGTGAATATCAAAATATATGGTTAATGACTTCTAAACATGTTTTTTTTTTGGTTTTCAACACTCACATATAACCAAGTAGAGTTTATGTATACGAACTTTCAATCTGCAGAATTCATCAAATTAAGTAAGTATCAAAAACTTATGCAACAAAATTAATTTTCAACAATTTCTCAAGTGTGGCATGGCTCTATTGCAAACTCTTATTGATGCTTTATGTAACTTTTCAAATAATTTTAAGAGCACTTATTCAATATATTACATAAAGGCGTGACAAAACGATATACATTAGAATTAGGGAAACTTTAAACGATTTTTTAAGTTGACTCTTCTGAGCTCTATTAATTTCTTAAAGAGAAAATTTCTGAAGTGATCATTTTTTATCTGGAGGACTTTATGATATCATTCTAAGGTGTATGTAATCTTCTCATCTGCCATCTGGTGTCAATGACAAATCTTATATATTTTATTGGGTCGAATGTGCGATTTGTAAAAATCATTTACAAAATTAAATTTTTGTCTGGAAAACGGTATAGTGATATAGCAAACGTTTAATCATATCTTATATGCACCATCGTCTAAAAAGCTTTTACAAAAGGGGCTACGGAGTGTACTCAATTTAGTAACGAGCTTACTTATCAAGTAATGATTTATAACAGGGCTGTCCAGACCAGATGCGATCGCAGGCCAATACAAATCAGTGTACAGATTGAAGGGCAGCAGGAACAGATATATACATTCATAGTTGTTATTATAAAAACATTATAACATTATAAATACGGTTATTATGTTAAATTTCGTTTTATTAATTTATTAATTAAAATTCATTTATTTGGTGTACCATAAAAATAAAATACTGTAGTTTTAACGGTACACCAAAAGAAAATTTGCGTGATTGTAGTAGATTAAAATTACGTCTCTGGCCGCATATTGCCTTCGGGCCGTGCTGTTTACAGCCCTGATATATAATAACAATTGTAAATAAATTTGGGACACTTGTTCTTTGACTTAGTAAAGTGTTTGTTCTTTGTGTTATCTGTTTAGTTAAAGTTACCTTAGTCGATGTGAGATTTGTTTCATCTGTCAAGTCTATCTGTCTATCTTAGCAGATATTTTCTGTTTGATCAAGAAGGATATGAACATAAAATCACATTTACTTGACATAATGTACATTTAACAAATATTTTAAATGTTCGACTTTTTAAACATAAAGCCAAGGTCAATTGACGAAAGAAATTAATTTTCTATTATAAGCTATTTTTTCATATAGAGATATATTATTTCTTGCGAATATACATAGCAAAAAAATTTGTTAATGAACTTTTACAGCAAAATAACAAAACTCGAAGTTGAAACATACAAGTCAAGTACGATATTGGGTCAATTGACTTATGAACACTGACTCTGAACCTCAAACTTGATAGGGCACGACTTCAACTCTTGGTACTTGCAGTCCTAAAAAATAATTTGCTACTAAATAAATATAAGAAATAATTCCAAGACCACTAATGATGGGTTTTTAGCAATACTCCGGACAGCTCAGGCAAAAATTTATTTAGTTGACAATTTTTGTTGTTGCAATTTACTATTGTTAAAAAACCTCTATTTTTAAATAATATTTTTTTATTTTATACGTTAATCAAATCTAAGTGTTTAGAATTTTTTAATGTGTTAAGTTTTTATATACTTTTAAGCATTTTTTTTATTATATTAACTAAATTTCAAATAAAGTTTCTTAATTTTTTAATTTATTATTAAATATAAATATATTAATATATAAATAAGTATTATTCTTTTACGTTAATTTGGCATTATAAATTATTAATTAATTTTTTAATTAATAAAAAACTTAAAAAAATTAATTAATTTTTTCATTACATAAAAAATAAAAACAATTTTTTAAAAAGTATTATTTAACTACTGACCAATTAGTCCGTTGTAAAACAAAATTACCATCAAAGCTAAATCTTAATTGTAATTTTATTGGAACTGAACCAGGTAGTTTTATCTATCTGCAAAGTTATGCAAAATTAAAGATATGTCCTTTAAGTATTTGAAAAATATGAAAATTTGAATCAAAAAGCATAAAAGAAGGAGATAAAGCCTAAAAGAAATAATTTATGGAAATTTTAAACTATTGCTAAATAATTTATGTTTCTGGAGGTATGCAGATATGTGCATGCATTTGCATAAATAAGCGAACATGTGCAGCATGCAAGCACAGCATTTCCGTTTTCCTTCCCTTTTTGGAAATATGCTGAATTCTGAATTCTTCTGAATATAGAAAAAATTTTCAAGTAACTGCAGGCTTGATAAAGAAAAATAAATAATATTCAAAGAAAAAATATTACATAAAAATAGAAAGAAAAAAAAAAAAAATTGAATTTAGTTTTTAAGCACTTTACTTTGTATCAACCCAGCAAAAAAAAAAAAAAATTATATATAAAGAGGAAAAATTTAAGTGAAATAAATAAGAAGAAAATGGAAAAATACACGGAAAGCGCATTAAACGAGTCAAAACAAGCCATTTTGCCCACAGCATCAAATTTACTTACTCCTTGCAATTTATTTATTGCACTCGGATTTGTGTTACTTCCTATTTGTGCTTGATTCTTCACTCTCTATGCTAAGCTGTGATATTGCATTTAGAAATTGCGAAATTGTGTCTTTGTTGTGTCTATTTTATTTTTGATTTTATTCAAATGGTAATGCAATTTAACTTACATGTGGATTCGATTTTAGATATCTCCAATTCTCGGTTGTCGTATACCAACCGGAGCAAATTGGCAGAAAGGAGAGTAGTGCTGGCGACAGCCATACCATCAGCAGCATGAAGAAGACCCGCCTGTGCGTCATTATTAAAGGATAGTCCAAAGGTTGTACGATGGCATAGTATCTGCAAGAGACAACGCAATGTGGTTAAAGCAAAGCATTAAACAAAATGCAAAACCAATGTAATATATAAACTTAACAAAAATTCTTCTTTGAATATGTATATATATGTGGAATATATATATGTGGAAGATAGTTTTGTCTTACCTATCAACCGATATGCAACACAAATGCATTATGCTTGCCGTAGAGAAATACACATCGAAGCTGTTCCACATATCGCACATCACCGTACCAAACATCCATTTTCCAGATATTTCAACGGAAGCATTGAATGTCATCGCACACAATGCTACCAACATATCAGCAACGGCCAATGAGACAACAAAGTAATTTGTGATGATGCTGTTGTCGTTGTCGTTATCGTTGTTATTATTATTGTTGTTGTTGTTGGCCCGGAAAATAAAATAAAATAATATGAAATACAATAAAATCATTTGCATACATACACTCACACACAAACACACATACATACATGCAGTTGCATGGCAGTAACATATGCATATATGAAAGTGTGCTGTATGGTATACTCGTAGATAAATGTAGGGTCATCGGAGCGTATGAGTGATATTTTAAATTTTACAAGAAATATGCAGTACAAAAATAATATTAAAAAAAATTTTAAATAAATAAAGGTTGCAAAAAAATTTTATTTTTAACAACAAAAGCAAATTAAAGTATTAATTTAAATAATTTTCAACTTAAATATTTATAGACACAGTATACGAGATACAGCGTATATATATGTATATTTTTTATTTATTTTTAAAATTGATATTCTGAGCTGTTTTTATTTTCTATTTATTTTGGCATTTACTTTTAAGCTTTTTCAATTTGTAAGTCATGTGAAGTGCAAATAAATAAACAAAAATAATATATCAATTTTGTGCTTTTTAAGCTTATTACATGAAATATTCAAACAATATTCCTGCTACACTCAAAATCCACTTGAGACGCTTCATAACCGATAATGGCAATCTCATCATAGAAATTGTTAATAAATCATACAATGCCAAAGCGGAAAATCCAATTTATCGTTAGAGTAAATGTGAAAGTGAAGGAAAATGTAGAGTCAGCATAATGCCATAATGCCACAATGCCACAATGACACATTGCCACAATCATTTAAACACTTTAATGACAGTGAAATAGACAAAGAATTTATAAACTTACTGTCGGCGTTTACATTATTTCCAACGATTTATCCTTTGACTTCTTTATTGCAACATAAGTAGGAATTCATGTTTCACTAATTAAGCTTAATTCCCTATTTTGGTTTTACTGCCGACACACAAAACAACTCATAAACCTTATGTGCGGCAAACATAAACATAAAAACGCGAACTCATACAAAATCCAAACTACAAATGTCACAAGGGCAAACGAAATGTTTGCCGGGATGAGTGGCAAGGCGGTAAGGCGGTGG